TTTTTTTTTTTTTTTTTTGTATCCAAGAAAACAGCGCAGGGAGAAGTATCAGTGTTACTTGAGCATAGTGCAGTAAGATGAGTATCCTTACTAAAGCCCAGTCTGTGTTTGGTTTGACTGGAAAAGATTAATGACATTGCATACCTGAGCTCTGTTCACATGTGAAACCTTCAGATGGCCCCATCACTGGAGAAGGCAGGAAACTGCCTAAAGGAGGATGCTCAGGAGCAGTAGCATTGCACAAGACTTCAGGTTCAAAGATGGACTCCGATTGTCGGATGTTTTCAGGTTGTAAATTGAACAACTGGCTGGCAAAACAATCAGCACTGCTGCAAAAGGCTCTACAAATAAAGACAGGAGCAGACTGGTAGGCAAGAGCAGCCTCTGAGTTCCTTCAGCCCTGTGACTTTGTGTATGGAGGATCCTCTGAAAACAAGGGGAGACCCGGTTTGTTGAGACACAGACATGCTCCTGATGCCTAGGAGTGCAGGTGACAGCAGAGCCTGCCCCATTCTTCAGGCTCATTGAGTAGGAAGTTTCCAGTTCATGCAACAACATATGCAGTTTTACTGTTCTAGTGAAACTGGTACGGACCCAGCAAAAGCATTTTAAATCAAGAGCATGTGGGGTGACTCGCAGAAAGGCAGATTGTAGGGCTGAACATGGATGAATCCTCTCTCTAGACCTGCACAGATGCCTGCTCTGGACCCCAGCCAGATCCTGCTCACCTACCCAAAAGGAGGTGGAAGCAGCTTGCAGGATCAAAGATTCATCAAGGAAAGGTTCCTCCTACTGTGACAGGCTGCAGAAACAGCTGTGCTTGAAGTAAAGACCTTCTTGCTGTACACAGGCACCACCTCATCTTGTAACTGAAACCTTAGAGGCAATAGTCCCAAGACGACCAACACCAGTTCTGCCCTGTTGCCTCCAGACCCTCAGCCATTTCAAGCTCACGTCATCCCCTGACAAGTTGTCTGAATAACCAGTGCTAGCGATGTCTTTATTTGTTTTGCAGACTAATACAAGCTGCAGCATCCACATAATTCCTCCAAAAATCTTGGTAAATGACTAAATTCTGCAACATTTTCCTCTTGAATAGCACAGTGTTTGGTCAATGCCCATAGCACACTCCCAGTGTCAGTACTTCACAGTGAGCAGGGCTGTAAAAGTCATCTCTCTTGCTAACTTCATTTTCTGTGTGCACCATTTTGCTTCCGATTAAACCAGCTGTCACAAGCCCTCATGGCTGCTCACTGGAGCATGGCACAGTAACGCTAGCTTGTCTGTATGTCTGCTTTCCAAATGTTAGGGGCAGCAATGTGCCTTCTGTGTTTTACCGTGATTCACTGGAGGTTACAGGGGTTGCCCTGGGTGCTGCCTACAAAAAGGCAATTCAGAAGGCCCCCAAACATTTCCTGGCTGCCCCCAGTCTTCTCTTCATCCTTCTCTAGACTGATGGAGGATAACATGTCCTGTGCAAAAGTAATTTCTGTCTTTATTGGACCCATTCAGAAGATAGAAAGTGAATTCCTGTTGCCAAACAAAGAGTTGTAGCAGACTGGTTTTGTGGGTCAGGACACCTTCCCCTTCCCTGTCCCAATGGGAACAGTTAATTTTGCCTGCTTACACAGCCAGAAAAGAATTTTTGCAAGATCTGGGAAATATTAACCCCTTCACCATACAAATTCTGCTCCTATGTCTACTGAACGGGAGCAAGCAAGGGAATGTGCAAAGTTCTCCGTTACTCCAGTACTGACTGCTCCATGAGACTGGTGTTTGCTGGTCCAAGAGCCAGGGATCATTGGCCTTTTTTTCAGGAGCCCCTCTGGGTTAATCCTCCTTGGTGTCAGGAGATGCTTGAGGGCATAGTCTGCTGCCTGGTACCTGGCTAGGCAGCTGCCTGCCCAGGGAGGCCCCATGTCACACAGATGCTTCTGGGCAGGGGACAGGACAAACGTCTGGTGAGAGATGGAGGGGTAGTCAGCAATGGACGAGGGACAAAGTACCACAGTTCCGGGGCCTTGAAATATCCTCGCTGGAGGCTGCGCCCACATGACCCTGAGAGACAAGATGACTTGCCCAAAGCCCTCCAGGGAAAAGCCACATCTGCTCTCTGACGTGTCCCACAGAGCACTACATTTCAAAGCCTGCACCCCCTCCCTGCCCGTGTGCGTCCTGCGCTCCCCATGCTCTCCATCCCCCCTGCTCTCCTGACACGGACTGGCTGAGAGCATGGGGTTTCCCAGAGCTTCCCTGAGTTATTTTTAGTCAGCGCAATAAAGAGAATGGCTAGTTTGTGTTGCTATTTTTATAGCACTCATTAAAATGCTGTTGCTGAATATCCCGGTGGCTGCTTGCTTCCGCTCCTGTGCTGACTACACCTCTTTCTTTCCTATTGCAGCACTGAAAAGCCCATCCACATTCCATGAACAGCGAAAAAGTCTGGAGCGAGCCAAGGTAACTCCTGCAGCCATCCCGATGAGGCAACACGTGGGCTTGCTTTGCATGAGTTGCGGGGTTTGAAAGCACCTTCCCCCACTGTCCCCTCCTCTGGCATACTCCATTCAAGCCTCGTGGCCAGGGATGAGAGTCAGGGCTTCTCCCCTTCTTCCAGACACAGTGGGGCAAGCCAGGGTTCACAAGTGCTCTAGAGCGCCCGTCTCCAAGCAGGGAAGGATTAAAAGGGCAGAGGAGCCATCTGTGCCCTGGGCTATGGGCACAGCCCCTGGGTTTCACAAGAGACTGTGGGCAGGCCGCAGTTCCGCATGGCATCGACAGTCCTTCCAGTAAATGTCCAGCCAGTTGAAATGCCGTTTTTCTCTCCAGCCCAGGTCCATAGCCCACTCCACGCTGTGCTGCCTGTTCTCCACTCCTGCTCAAGTCACTGGGGTCAGAGCAGGGCCAGCAGCAAACAGGACTGAAGGAAGTTAACTACTTAGCAACTGTGCAGAAGGAATGCAGATCCCCTTTGTCACCTGCAGAGAGTCCCCAGGGAACTGACACTTGTCATCAGACAGGAGCCTGGCTTTTAGCTCCACAGTGCAGCTTGGTCATTATGACACACAATGCCCCAGGGGCTAAGCGGGCCAGGCTCCCACCAGCCCCATTATCCAACTGCACTCAGGCTTCCCTAAATATTGCTGAAAGCAGAGATAAGATAAGTAACCATTTCCAGAACACATCAAACTCTGTGGTGCAACCACTTTTTGGGAAATCACACTGGTTTTCCAAACACTCACCATCCATCCTTGACCAAGCTGTGGGAATGTCCGCAGAAAAAGGAAAAATCAGTCATGCAGGTTTTGCTTGAACGCAAGAGTTTGTTCCATTACTCTGTAAAACGTGCTTGCAGTCTCATGGAAAAGACCTTTGCAAAGAAGAATGACTGTGAAATATGGAGAAGTGCTCTTCTGAATTTAAACACACTCCAAATCACTTGCCCCGAGTCTCCCGCAGTAATAAACGGCTAGCATAAGAAACACAATACAACTCTGAAAAATTAGTATGCTTACAAAATTTCAAGCAATCCAAAGTATCCTTGAAGTGTCATGTATTTTAAGGTTTAAGTATACATTTGTGTCTGTCTTTCTCTTCAAAAGCTTTCACTGGCTAGTTGCCTGGGGAAAAGGGAAGGATGGTCGAGTCTATCCCAAACTGCTGCATTTTCAGAGCATGCTAACAAAGACATTGAGCATAGCCCATAGCAAACACACAATCCTTTGCAAGGATGCCCTGCTTAGAGCTGTGACAGGGAAGGAACAGCAGCTGTTTCCAGATAATTACTCAATGGCATTCGTTGTTTAGCTGATATTCCTCCAAACTGATGTTCTGCAAACAGAAAGCAGATAACAATAACTGCTCTCATGTGTTTTGAAAGCTCTTCTGCTTCAGCTGACTCTAAAAAAAAACACTTCTGAAGTTTTTCTCCACCATTTGCACCCCAGTGACACAAATGCATCTTATAAACAGCAAAGGTCAAAAGGAACTGAAATCACAGCAGAAAGTCAGGCTAATGCAGTGTCAAAGCTGGGTTCAACATGAACAAGGCCACATCTGTAGGACAGCAATTCAAGCTTAGCCCAAGTCAGGACCTGATCTGAGGATCAGCTGAAACGTGAATTTATTTGCACTCAGGTGCAGACACCAGCTCTGACCTGGCACAGGAACCAGGCAAACCTACACCTGGTCCAAGCAAGGGATTGTGTTGGTGAAAATTAACTGGGGAAAAATATGAAGGGAAGGGTAAGGAATTGTAAAGATGTCAGTAAATAAAATGTCTATTATTTGTTTAAACGTGTCACTGGCTATGTTAGAGGCTGGCATCAGGCCAGTGCAGCAGACTTTGAAGTCAATGTCCTATAACAGATTGCTGAATTAGAGGACAGAGAGCAGGCTGACTTTCCTGAGGCGGTCTGGCTCAGCAGGGCTTGAGCACTTACTCCCAGCACCCCAGGAGGCATGGCAGGGGGTAGCTGTGGTGCCTCCACCCTGAAGCAGATCACCCCCATCTGGGTCACTCCTGGCAAGCGTATGACCACCGACTGACATCCCACCACCCAACAACCTGCTCCAGTGCTCTCTAACCTGTGCTGTTAGCAAGTGTCCCCCAGTCCCCAGCCCAAGCTGTACTGTTGAAGTTTAAGCCCCTTACTTTTTCTCCTGTATGCATCTACATGCAGGACTGTTTTTCTTTTTTCTTGTAGCATATTTAAAAAGTATTTTGCATCCTGTTTCTCTATAGCTGTCTCACCTCTGGACTGACAGGCCTCCCCTCTCTTCAGCCTCTCCTCATGGATCCCATCCCTGGTTCAATAATGATTTCGGTAGCTGTTGTCCAGACCCTTACGACGGACCCCTTCAGATGCAAGGCACAGAACCCCCATTCTATCCCACATCCCCTTGCTATTCCTAGGGCCCATCTGACAGCCTTCATTGTGTCTCCTAGAAAGCAGCCTGCTGGTCTGGAGGTGTGGTTCAGCTGCTGATCACTAGATTCTCCAGAGGCTTTTATATTTTTTTCTCTATTTATGGAGTAACTAATTTCTGCCTAAGTCCCCTGTCCAGTTACCGTTACAGAAGCATCTCTGGTGGTTAAGTCTTCATCCACCCCAGGGCTTAACCAGCTGGCTTAGCTGTGACCTGAATGCAGTCCTTTCCAAATGTCTCTCTTGAAATTGCATCATCAAATGTATTTCAGATCATTTTTTCAATTACTCCAAATCATGTTGCGTTGTAATCTGTTAGCCTTGAATGATTCAGAGTTAAGGAGTATGTCTTCTATCATCTGAAGCATTAATGAATATATTGACTAGTATGAAAAATTGCTGTGTAACATGATTTGATATATTCTTCTGTTTAGACTATGAGGCATTCCTGATTCCTCTGGTGACCCACAGCTATGCTCCTTTTTTATGTTAGTCTTATCCAGACCAAATTTCTCTGGCTTACATATGAGAAAGCCATGTGAGATAATGTCAAAACATGCTTAAAGTCAAGCTACATGACATTCATTGTTTATTTCTGTAACAGAAACCTGTTATCTCTCCATAGAAGGAAGTTGGGTTGGTGTGATGTGGTTCTTTCTTGATGAATCCATCCTGGCTGTTACTCACCTCCTTGCTATCTTCAAAATCCATTTATACAGATTGTTTGATTACTTGGTCCAATATCTTGCTGACTGGTTTATAATTCCCAGGTTTCTTCACTCCATCTCTTTTAAAGCAAGAAATTATTCTCTCCTTTGTCCAGCTTCCTGGAGACCCACAGATAGTTGCTATTACTCTAGCCTTGTGTGTCTCAAACTGTTTGGGAACATTTAATTCATCTGAGTATTCTCCAACCTGTTCTCCAAGTTGATAACTGGAGCTTCTTCTCTTTTGTCACTGAAGGTTCTTGGCTTAGTCATCTGATTGATAAATATCTTTTTAGTGAGAATGGTTTAAAAAGGCATTAAATCCTGCAGGCATCCCAGCAGCATGCACAATTATTTCTCCCGTTTATGGAACACAGACAGCACTTTCCATCGCCTTGTCCTGGCTACAGAAGTCTTTATAAAATCTTTTTCTCATGATCCTGTACATTTTGTACTGTGGGTTTTCCAGTTTTGCTCCAGCTGCTTATACTATTCTTTTATATTTATCTTTAAGATTTTAACCTCTTTGAACCATGTACAATTTTTTGTACTATTTCTTCTTGCATCTCAACAAACAGCTAATAATTCGTCCAAGTTGTGCTCTAGCTTTTCTTCACCAGAGGATAAGCTTATATTTGTATTCTTGAGTTCAGGTGCCCTCACCACTGACTTCTTTGGTCCTAATGGATGGTGTTACTGTACCTCTGTGTGCCTTTCTGTTCCTAAAGCCATGAGGAAGTTGGCACAAAGCTCCAGGACCACGTTCATCACAAGCTCAGCTGCAGTGATCTGCAAAGTTCAATTTTCCCAACATTCACAGAGCACAGGATCTGCAGAACTGCAGGAAGGCTAAGCCTCATGGCTGGCCTGGGTAGAGCCTGGGTATCTTCATGACTTACTCAGCCTTACATCTCAACCCAGAGTGCCAGGCTTCCCACCGAAGCCAGTGCTAAACAGTACACTCTGGAGCTGCCTTGGTGCAGCTATCAAAGACAACCTGATGTGCCAAGCTAGGAGCAGACCTGCCACCCCCAGTGAACAGGTCTCATCCTCCCCATGAGCTCTCACAATACTTCAGACACTAGAAGCCCAAGGGAAATTGGAAAAGACACAGCTTAGGAGTGGGTATAGTGAACCATGCGCATCGTTCCCTTTGTGAAGAACTTCTGCCCAAGAACAAGTCAGTGTCTGAGTGAAGAAAAATGCCATTTAGGAGCTCGCTCGGCCCAGTTTGTAACAAACCCAAAAGAACCATGGGACGGCACAGGGGCAGACGCTATCTGTACCTGATTGCTGCTCTAGCCAGGTAACTCTCTGCATTTATGTTCTGCAGACTGAAGATTATCTCAAGCACAAGATCAGAAGCAGGCCTGAGCGATCAGACTTGGTCAATATGCACATTTTACAAGGTAAGACTGCCTGAGATTCTCCCATACACTCCTTGTGTCTCCTGTCTATCCTGCCGCGCAGGGGTTCCCCTCAGGGCTCCCATCACAATCAACTTTGTCCCAGCTGCTCATAAGAGGCAGATTCAAATGGGACACATGTACAAATTCAGTCCAGACCTGGTCTTCAGGAGGCAAGACACAGATTTATTCCCCGACAGAAGCAGACCCAAAGCCATCTAATCTTTCTCCCATGTCTGGCAGGGACCAGTATAAGATGTTCTAGAGTACAGTGGGGTAGAGAACAGCTGTGAGAGACGACCCTGTCAGACAGAAGTACTGATGTCTGATCATCATGAAAACCATACCCAGGGCATTTGTTGTCCAGGGTGCTGAAACCCCTGTAGCAGGTGGTTGCAATACCCTTCCAAAGCTGAACATCTTCTGTTTTGCCATAATTCTGGATATTCTGCGTGACAATGCAGGGTGATGCCATCAATGACCCAAGCACAGCCACATGAAAATGGTGAGCTCTGCTATAGGTCCGTGAGCCACAGCAGCTCTCCCCTCTCACATCCTGGTCTCCCCTCTCAGCCAGAGAGCTGGCATGGCTCCGCTGCATCCCATCACAGACAGCAGAACCCTGCGCTGTCCCTCATTATCTCCAGAGATAACAAGCTCCTTAGAGACAGGGAGGATGTGCAGCCTCTCTCCTTGACTCCTGTCAGTCACCTGGAAGAAGCACATCACTCTCTGGCAACTGTAAGTGCTGGCCTCTACTCTCAGCACGGATGAAGGCCGTATTTCTTTTTCTTCTGGCACACAGAAGGGCTAAGCCAGGGGCCCATGCTGGCTTAGGGCTGCTGCCTTGCTTTTCCCTTGGGTCTCCATCCCTAAACTGAGCAAGCACCGTTGCTTAACAAGTGGAAAGTGTCTTTCCCTTGGATTAAATAGTAGAAGCAATATGGACTGTAGTTGAGTCCTGGAGGCTGATGTGGGGGCAGCTGCAGCCACCAGGCATTGACAGGGACAGGCAGACACAGGCAGAGGAGATGTGGAGCAGACACTGCAGGTCTGTGTATTGAGCAGGGTGGCTGTGCTGCCCCACGCACACCTCTTGGCCGGAGCCTCTGCTCACATCTCTGTCCCTTCTGCTCTGCATTTCATGGAGGTGTGCCCTGACATATCATGGACTTACATGTCCGTTTGGGTCCTAACAGGACCTAGAGGTGATTGAAATCGGCCAGCTGAGACACTTTGCATCATCTCAGTGCCTTACAGGCACACCTTCTGTTACTGTTCACCTAGGGTCACTTCTGGCCTCAGACTATATAGAGCAGTGAACACACACGAGCACCTTTACTCTGAGGCCAGAAGTGACCCTAGATCAGCTTTCCTGACCTCCTGCAGATAATTTTTCACTGATATCAAGCCCCATAGCTTGTGTTACCTGCAGTATTTCTTCTAGAAGAGTCTCCAGTCTTTGAAGATGGCACAACCTAGATGCAGTCTTTCTTGCTTTAGACCTCCAAGGTTATAGACATGATCTAGTCTAGAGTCCTGCTCCCTTACTACTCGTGCCTGTGCTGCCAGAAGAGCCAGATAATCTTTGTTCAGTAAATATTTCTGCTTAATTTGCTACTCTTCTGTAGGGGAATTCTCAGCTGGGTTTGGTAGAGCTGTAGCTTCCAGGTATAGCTGGCTTTGTTATGCTCCTCTCTGGCTTGTTTATTCCCCTGAAGGCCCGGAGCACTGTAGTCACACCGTTTCCAAATGTCCACTCCCAAAGACTCGGCTGTTGATCTTCCAGTGTAAGACAGTTACTCCAGTTGTTAAACACTGCTAATGGTTCTTTTCTCCAGCTGTTCCCCAGAGGTAGGGATCCATCTGCACTAACCCACAAGGGCCAATGGGCTCCTGGCAGGCAGCAGCTGCAGTCCACTCTGGCCCTTATGTTAGTTGCAGCTTGTTAATGAAGTTTCCATTGCAGATCATTCCCGGGCCTTGGGGCGCATGCTCCAGCTGCAGGCTGGCTGTGCAAGCCTAAGCTAGTAGACAGAGGCTCTTGCTTGGGAAAGGAAAAGCTGGACCTAAGGCTCACAGGAGGACCCATGTCCCAAACCCCACCAGAGCCATCCAGTCCAGCACCCTGCCTCCCAGCTTCAGAGCAGGTCCTGCTGCGCATTGAGCCATGCTTTGGTTTTGGCCGCAGCCCAGAAAGGCCGCGCTGCAGGGGAAGCACATTCTTGCTGAGCACTGTGCTTACAGAGGCCCCAGGTCCTGAACTGACGCCTTCCATTTGGCCTTTTAGACTCAGCTGCAGAGGGGTCCATTCAGTCTACTCAAATGAAGCTGAAAAGAGCCCGACTGGCAGATGATCTCAATGAAAAGATTGCTCTCAGGCCGGGTCCTTTGGAGCTGGTGGAGAAGAATATTATTCCTGTCGACTCAGCTGTGAAAGAGGCCATAAAAGGTAGTGGAAGTGAATGTGTGTGTTATGTTGTGTGCATGGCACAGGGCAGGGACTGGCAAGGTTACGAAGACATACTGCAGCAACTGCAGGAAGTGACTGGCCTGGACTTAAGAGCTGTGTTTATTGCTTAAATTTTATTATTTTCACAACAAGCAGCTCAGTCCAACACAGCCTGTGCTATCTTACACAGACCTGTGAAGAGAGCTCTCATCTGCTTAGAGCAATGACCACTGAAATATTCACAATTGCTTGGCCATGTGTCCTCAGAAAGAACCTCCCTCAAACCCCTTCCCTTCCCAAGGCTTTGAGCACATAAATGATACTGCTGGAGACAAGACATTCCCACCTCCCTCACGTGGGAGAGGACCTGGGTGTACACAGGTAGTTGTGAGGCCAGCCTGGATTCTCCCACTTGTGCCCTGCCAAGCTTTTACATCCCAGTAGGTGGGGGTGAAGTGGCCCCAGCTCAGCAGGGCTGCAGTCCTATTTATTTTTCCACTGACGCTAGTGGTGTGCAAGGCCCAACAGAGGAGGATGCTGCACGGTGGGGAAGCATCCCTGGGAAGACTGCTGGGGAATAGAAGGAGCAGCCTGTACCCAAAGCAGGGTAAACTCCTGCCTACCGATACCCAGCACTTAACTTATGCCTAAGCTTGGTTTTCCTCCACCACCTACGCCCAGCTGGAGGAGAGAGGCAGAATCTTCCACAATTATTTCCCCCATGCTGGCGCAGGAAGCTGGTTTGGGAGCTGATACAAACCAAAAAGTTGACTCAGATTTCACCAGTGCCAAGACAGGGAGGTCCAAAAGCAGAGAAAGATGCAGGAAAGCCAGCGGGGTCCTGCAGTGCGAGGACAGCCCATATTTTTAAGCCTGAGGCCCTCTCTGCAAGACCAAATTGGTCCTCAGGTCTCTAGTGAGGCACTGAGAGATGCTCAGTCCCCTGGGAACTGCTTGTTCTGTTGCTCATGGTTCCTCAATTCATAGGATCACTTCCATTGCAATAATCCCATGTTAAGTGCCTGTTCTGGGGCTCAGAGCAAACTGGGGGCAGTGGCAGGGCTCTGGGGTAGGAGAGGTCTTTAAATGACAGGAGTGATGCCAAAAATGCGAGTTGAAAGAGGAAGCACTTTGACTATCGTTTCATCTCGGAAACCAGCATAAATGACATGAAATATTCCAGGCTCAGATACTGCTCTCTCCTGCCCTGCAATTGTTCCTGCTCTTGGTTCTCCCACTGTGAAATGCACGCAGTATATATGCGGCGGCTTCTCCAGCCTGGCCCTTGAGCTGCTCTGTTTCCAGCGTTTCACAGTTCTTGTCTTTGAAGGTGAAATGTTCCAGGACTCTGCCTGAATAGGAATTTTTAAGGAGAGTTCAAGTAAAAATCTCCCCAGCCACTTACCAAAGGAGAGAACAGAGGAAAAAAAAAAAAAAAAATTAAAAAAACCTCCCCCCTTTAGAAACATTTGAGACAGTCTGAGCATGAATTTATCCACTGGAGCTGAGGCTTGGAGGCTGGGCAAGTGTGCCTGAAGTTTGAACAGTTTCTCTCCAGCTGCCTGTCAGGAGCTTGTGGTAAACAGAGATTTACAGGACAAAATTGCTAAAAACAAACAAGTCTGGCTTAGAACGATTTGCTCAATTTTAAATTTCTTCCTTTTGCAATGCCCTTCTATCACATTGCTGGGAAAATATGTGTCCTGTAAGCCAGTTCTACCCCATTTAGGGTGAAACACGCAGCACATTAGGGTCAAACATGAAGTTACTTGGTACTGTTGGGCGCCATGAGAAGGAGGTGGTGTAACTGCACCAGGAACAAAATCCCAGCCCTCAGGTTTCCGCAGAAGAAAGCCCCAGGCTGAAGGATCCTCAAGCTGATTTTTGGAGTCAGAGGCACATTGTGGCGCTCACAGTTTTGGGCGAAGGGCTGAGCACAGAGCACAGATGAGCACTGGCACTTCTGAACGTTAAGCCTTTTGTTTTTGCAATACCAGAAAGATGACAGGGTTTAAAATCATTTTACTTTAACCTTGGAATCTCAACTGTTTATACAGCGGAAAGTTCAGCTGACGTGTTCATCTAATCACCTCCGGCAGGGTGAGCAGAAAGTGCCAGACCCCAACCAAAAGCCCTAACGTCCCAGTGACAGGAGGCCAACAGTGCCCTACATAGCTGAGCAGTGATATAAGAACCTTTTTTTACCAGGTCCTTGTCATCACTTTGTCCAACATGCTTGAGAGGACAATACCCAGTGCATTAGAAACAGCCCCAAGCAAACACCATTCTGCCTGAGATTACAGCAGAGACATGGGATCCTGAAACAATACGGGCAGCCCCGGGCTGGGTAAGAGCAGGACAGATAAGGGCAGCATTCCCCACCCGGCACAGGCCCGTGGTATCAAGCAGCAGGATGCAGCACATTCCTGTCGTGCTCCCGGCTGCTGCTGTGTCCCGAAGGTCCCTTGGGCTCCCCGCTTTGGCATCATGTCTCAATGCATGCTTATTAAATGCCAGCCCAGTGGGAGTCCTGCAGATACACAAGTCTCGTTTTTCCCAAGAGAGGATGCCCACGCTTGTCTGCGAGCACGGGGAGCAGCTCCCACCCACCCAGCCCAGACTATGCAAACATGGAGCTCCTCAGGGAAGACCCGGTTTGGGTGCTGCCTCTGACGGAGAGTGGACAGGCCCTATTTCCAGCACACACGAGGAGCCCGGTGCCCTGGAGAGAGGAAGGAGATGTTCTCCACAAGAGGCAGCTGATCTCATATCCCCACCCCATATCATGGCTGGGCAGCAGCTCGGGGCAGGGAGCCAGGGCTCCCTGCTCTCTCACCCACCCTGGCACCATGAGCCAGAGCAAGCAGAGATAACCCTTATCTCTCAGATAGGGGCAGGGGTCAGAGCAGGAGGGTGTGTGTCAGTGAGAAGGTGCATATTGCTGGACCAGCAGCAGGGACAGGTGGAAGCTTGTCCCCAGGCCCTTCCTATTTCCCCACTTGTCACCTCGCTATCAGCATGCCAAGCTGCCTGACAAATGCCAGACATGAGCACGAGGAGATTACGAGCGTGGCCGAGCTGCTCCTTCCTCTACCCCCACCTGTGGCCCTCCCGAGGCTCACATGAGACTTTTTTTTCTTTCCAGCACTCTATTTATCAGCAAAAGCTAGGGGTCAAGAGCTCTTGCCCATCTGACTAGGAGATAGTGTGCTGGGAGCTTTGCCGTGGGGAGAAGCAATGTCTGGGGCTGTCAGGGAGGCAATAGTGGTGGTTTGAAGCACGTCGTGCGGGTGAAGCTTGTGGATGAAGACAGGATCTGGAAGCCTCTGCTCAGCTACAGCCAGATCCACCCTGTTGGCTCTTGTGCCATGAACGGACAGGTCACCCAGTGGATTTCAACCTCAGTTCTCCTGCTGAGGGCAAGATCCCACAGGTGGCATAGGCTTGCAGTTGGGGCGTTCAGCTGAGGGAGGGGGCAACCTTAATGCCCTTCTC